TCATTGGCTCAAAAGCTTCCAGCTTCATTCGTTTCCAGTTTTGATGGAATGTCAGAAGTTTTTTTTGTCTGAACTCTCCATATTACTGAAATAAATACAACACCATTATCCTAATGCTCCTCTTTCAGTTTTTGTCTACGAAGCTTGCCCCGCAAGCACGTCTTCCCTGAGTATTCACCTTCTGTCTTGATGGTACCATTCGTCCAGCAGTCATCAACGAAATGTTCAGTGCTTCATTCTTGGAATTTTGATTTCTTTCGTGGCCAGAATGGTAGAAGCTGCTTGCACTTATTCGAATGAGCTTTTCGTTATCTAAGAAGCTGTACCTGCCTTTGAAAAACGAGAAGTTTTCCCACTGTATGTTTCAAATTACTGGAAATTATCCCTGGATTACTTTTAGACTGCGATGTTTGACTAAGGAAAACTTTGGGAAGTAGAAACATCGGTAACCAGTCATGAATAGAATAAAAACACATCCGGGACATTTTTCATCATCCTTGTGTGTTTTTTTATTTCACTGGGCCGCTCGAAAATCACGTGTTTATCCATACAAGTCATCTGCCCCTACAATTCATCCCAAACTACGAGAGCTCAGATTTGCAAACTGATTCTGTACAGATTTGACATCATCAGCATGCACCGCTCTCTTTATTCCGATCTTCGATTTTAAATCACAATTCAGGCTACTTTGACAATTTTAGTGAAACAAAACAGCTCGAAGCTGCCACTTTTTTGGATTACAGCGTGATGACTTTGTTTTGATCTGTGATCACAGTTTCAAAGTCATGCTAATTTTATCACTTGGCAAATCTCGGTATTCAAATTTACAGGGCTCTTGGGTTGGTTTTATAAAATACTTCTGGCCTATAAAACCATAATTTCGAAGTTTTGTTTACTATTTGATGTTAGTTTACGAAACTGAGGTAGGCATTCAAGCCGTCCTTTTTTTATGCGTTTTTTGCAGCAATGCAATGCGAAAAACGCATATTGACGAGAGGTTGTCTG